GCCTCTCACTTGTTTATTGTGCCAGATGGGCTCCTCAAACATTTAGTCAGAATTGAAAAATTTCAAGGGACTGTCTCTGTCAAGGATTTCATTGTACATATGAGGAAACTGAGGCAGGGGCTTTGCTGATACAGGAGCCCAGGTCTCCCTGGAGACAAGACATGTGTGCTTGGTGGCCAGGGCTGAAGCCTCAGGGAAGATATACCCTGTGTGCCTGGTGGTTTCACTGTTTTCTGTTGCATCTAAGATACAATTAATTATAAGGTGCACCAGTTATAAGATCCCTGAGAAGCAATAACCAATGCCAATTAAATTATGACACACCATCATGTAAGATGCACCCCAATTTTAAAGATGATGAAGTGGTAAAAATGTGCACCTTAGGATTGATAAAATAAGATGAATTCATAAAATCGATAATCATATAAAATTACACGTGCAGTGTAACAACCGAGTTTTCCCTGCCTCTGCTAATCAAATTCTACTCAGTAGAGATAATCTCTATTGACATTTTTGGCACATGTCCTCGAGACATGTTAATGCATCTGTAAGTATATTTATACAGTAATTATTGTTGAGAACATTGCTATATGCTGGGCCCTGTGCTAAGCACTCTGAGGCATGTTAGTGAATCTTCACAACAGGCTCATGAGGCAGGTATGAGCTACCCCCCCTTTATAGCTGAGGACACTGAGGCCCAGAGAGATGAAGGGACTCACCTGACATCATACAGTTTCACAGAGGCGAGGCCTGAGTTTGCATCCAGGCCCCTTCAGCCTCAGGGCCTGAGCTCTTAACTACCGTGCTGCTCGTATCCTCGATATGCAGGTATGAGTAGGTATGTCTTTCAAAAGCGAGGTCCAAAGGAACTTACGGTTCTAGGATCTACCTGCAATATTTTTCTCCTAACCCTACCCCATGGGCATCTTTCCATGTCAGTACCTAGGAGCTACTTTATTTTTCGAATAGTTGCAAAGAATTCTCCTACGACATATTTGAACAGACTTCCAGTCCCCTACGGCATTTCTCCCAGTTTTTTGTTATTACCAGAACGCTGAGCGGATCAACTGTAGACTTCCGTCTTTGTGTACTTCTCTAATTATTTCCTCAGGAAAATTACCAGGTCAATTTCCTTCCAACACGTTTATGGTTTTAATTTTTACAATTAGATTTTAATCCATCTGCAGTCCCCAGTATTTCATGTGTCAGGAGAGCATGCAGAGAGGTTTGTGGATGTGCTGGGCACAGCTGGTTGCATGTGAGTCCCAAAGTGCCTATGGAGGGGGCAGACAATGCGGGGGTTGGGAGGGTGGGGGTGGGTGGGAAGAGGCTTCTGTCGCTGGCTTTCCCCTCCCTGGTCCAGGGGCAGGAGGGGGTTGGGGCAGAGTTCAGGGAAGGGGCCACAGTCTCTGTGTGCCCTTGCCCCTCCCTGCTCCAGAGAACCCCTCCGCCCATGCCCTGGCCTCTGATATTAAGAATAATAGCAATTGCCGTGACGGCGCCTCCTGAGATACAGGCTATACACATGCACTATTTCTGGTCTTTCGCGTTTAGGGTTGTTGTCAGTTTTCTACAGATGGGGAAACCGAGGCTGCCGTCTGGAGAGGGAAGGGCTTGCAGGTGACATGGGCAGAGCTCCAGCTCAGGCCCTGCTCTTAGTGCGGGGATTTCTCTCCCGAGGCGCAGCCCTGGCCTGGCCTGCACAGTTGTGTGTGGTGGATGCTACTGGTATTCATCA